CAGGGCTCCTTACTCTGCACACAGGTCACATGCTCCTCCTGGAGTGGGCTGTGTTGTCCGGCTTTCTCCCCAGTCTGCTCTGCCTCTTCTGCAGCGCCCACATCTGAGCCCTGAAAAAGCTCCTGGGCTACATGGTCCCCGATGCTACACACATTGCTGATGAGAATACTGGCATCAGGGGGTGCCAGATTGCACTCCCCTTCTGGCCCAGGTGGTCCCCCAAAGCCATTGGGCAGAGTACAGGAGAGGAGGCCTATAAATTGGGGGGAGAAAAGGGAAAGAGAAACTGATCAAAGAACAATCAAATGATACACATGAATGACAAAAACCACAAGATAAACTGAAGCAGAATCTACCGATATAAACTTTTTTTTTAAGTTTCGATTTTTATTTTGGGATTAACAAAATGCAGAGTTGGCCTGCTCTTGGCTCTATATTCAGGGATCACTCCTGTTTGGGGCTCAGGAGACTGTATGTGGTGCCAGGGATCAGATGGGGGGGGGCAGCTGCATGCAAGGCAAGCACTGTACCCACTGTACTATATCCCCAATCCCTCTACCAATATGAATTTAAAGGAATAGAGATCCCAAACCATAAACATGTAAAACTGTATAAAGGGACTCATACAAGGGGCTGGAGTGATAGCACAGCGGGTAAGGCGTTTGCCTTGCATGCAGCCAACATGGCCGACACGGGTTCGATTCCCAGCACCCCATATGGTCCCCTGAGCACCGCCAGGAGCAATTCCTGAGTGCATGAGCCAGGAGTAACCTCTGAGCATCGCCGGGTGTGACCCAAAAAAGCAAAAAAAAAAAAAAAAGGAACTCATACAAGAAAGCAAAAACAATTCGTTTTCAAAGACATAGCACCTAGCATGTTACCCAACATATAGCAATGACCGATAAATATTTAAATAATACAGTCATTAAAAGAAAGAAATTAGGGGCTGGACAGACAGTACAGTGGGTAAGGCACTTGGTCCCTGGGGCACCTCATATGCCCCCCCGCCCCAAGTCCTGCCCTGTGCACAGCCAGGTAAGCTCTGAGACCCACTCAGTGTTATCCAAATCCCAAATAAACCAACCACAAAAACCTATTCCCCACCTGTTATCAGCTGGGTTCTCTGAAACAGTTTGAGAATGTCCCCAACAACGTTTCTGCTGATACACTCCTATATTCAGAGAACCCGTCCTACTGCTCTGAAACTGCACCCACTGCAGGCTTATGCACAGGGTAGAGATCCTTGCAGGCCCTTATCCTAAGAAGTGAGAGATTTCTCTTTCGCTTGGGAGTACATGCAATGATACTTGGGAAGCCATGCTGTGCTCAGGGACTCAAAGTCGGGGCTCCTACATACATACAATCTGTTGAGCTGTCGAGATTTCAAGAGGACAAGACTTGCTTTTTCTAAACCAGGTGTCATCTATGCGGAGGACACCTACTTAGGTAGGATGCACCCCCTTCTCTCTAGGCAATTAATTCACAACAATTCTGTTCCCCTATTCCCCTACAAACCATGTATTTCTTTGGCCCAGTCCTCACCTCAGGAAGAGGCTCTGGTGCTCCAGGATCTAGCCCTCCCTCCTCCCTCCTCCATTCCTTACCAGAATCAGGGTCCAGAGACTTTGAAGTCCACCTTAATCCATCTTCCTCCATGGGGGGCCCAGAGGGCACTGGTGGAGACCCTCTCACCCCATCCTCAGCCATGAGAGCACCTAGCAGACCCAGCCGGGGTGGCGGTGGCCCCCGTGGGGAGTCAAAGCGACAGCAGGGGGATGGCACCTGCGGTGTCACACCCCCTTCCTGGGGTGAAAGATGGTTCTTGGGGTGTGCAAAGCCCCGCCGCCGGCCCCGGTGGCGCCCCCAAAGCTTCCAATGGAATGTCAGCGAGGTGCTTTTTGAGTAGAGCAGCATCCTGAAGGCTCGCATAGCTCTGCGGCGGCGCTGTGAGCAGGTTTTTCGATGAGTAGAGCGGGCTGGGCGAGACCTCTGGGTCGCTCCCAGATGACCCCATCTGGGGGGTAGCCTCCAAGCTGACACTTCCTCATCTTCATCCTCCTCCTCTTCTTCTTCCTCTTCCTCTTCACTAGCAGAGGCATCAAAAGAGGGCCGAGGGACAGGGAGACGTCTGGCTGGCACTGCAGTCCCTGACCCAGGATCTGGCCCAAACCCTCCACCAGATTTGAGTCGGGGCTTGGGGGGAGGGGGCCAACGAAGCCGCTCCTGCCTGGGGCTTGCATAAGCTGGGGCTACGCCAGGTCCAGGAGGCTCAGGCCCCCAAGACCCAGTCCCCTGTATAGTCTCTTTCATCTTCCAGAAGCCTGTGAAACAGAGGTTAGGGTCAGAATCCAAACATCTTGTAGCCCAAAATCCTACAGTCTTTTTCAGCATGTCCCCTCTGGATCAAATGAAAAACTGCGAGGGAATAAATGCAAAACTTCAGACTTCAGGTTCTGGGTTGACAGAGTTGGTGCCCCTGCCTGTCTGCTGCGCAGAGGTCAGGGAGAATGGCTACACGAGAGGCTTCTGTGAGTCCGTGGACCCCGGGCATGAGATCAGACCTGTATTTTAATGCACTATTTTTTTAAAGGTTTTGGGTTTTTTTTTAATTTTCCTGGTTTTGGGAGGTCACACCCGGTGATGCTCAGGGATCACTCCTGGCTCTGCACTCAGGGATCACTCTTGGCGGTGCTCGGGGGACCATATGGGATGCTAGGGATCGAACCCGGGTCGGCCGCCTGCAAGGCAAACGCCCTCCCGCTGTAATACCGCTCCGACCCACGTGCTACTTTTTTAATACCACCAGAGGTCTAGCCCAGAAACGACCAAGCGAAATGGCTCTGCATGCGAACACTGGCGTGCCCGGAAACGAACAAAACTCCAACAGGGAAACCGTGGGCTAAAGTGGGAAGAGTTCCCAGCCGCCCCACCCCCCACCCCGGGATGAATGGACACGGCGGACGCGCTCAGGTCGGCTTACGAGGGAACGGGGATACATGGCCAGGGTCCAGAAAGCTAAGTCTGATGAAAGGGGGCGGGTTTTAAAGGAAAGCGAATCCGGATCAGGCTGCCAAATCAAAGGGCTGGTGCGGAATCGGTCCCCGCGAACCTGTCTGGGGTTCGGCCCCACTCAAGCTCCGTCCCCGGGGACCAGAATGCCGATATGGTCCTTCAGGCTCGGCCGTCTCAGCGCGCAGGAGTCTTAAGAAGCCCTTTCGAAGGTCTCCCGGCCCCGGGGTACGGGGGGCGAGGTCCGGGGATGGAAGAAGCCGGGGCCGGCTGGGGGAGGGGAGGGGCGTCCTCACCCGGGGCAGGGAAGCCGGGCAGACGGGCCCGAGGGCGGGCGTCTCCGGCCTTAGGCTTCCCGGCTCATCTCTCCGGCGACGGCGGCGGCCCCGCCACTCCTGCTGTCCTCGGGCGCAGCCGTCTCAATTCAGGATTCCAACGCTCCTGGCCGCGCGCCGCACCGCCCAGCCGCGGCCGCCTTTTGCGCCGCCTCAGCCTCCGCCGCCGCCACCTCCCCCACTACCACCACCTCCTCCTCCTTCCCCTCCCGCGAGCCCCAGGCCCACCGGCGATGGCGTCGCACAATTAGCACGTCACACCCGGCGAACAGCGCCGCACGGCCAGCGCGCGCCTAGCCCCGCCCACCGGGGGGTCGCCAGCCCCGCAACGTCCCGCCCCCGAGCGCCGCGCGGGAGCGCGCCTGCGCAAATCCTCCGGGCTGGCCCGTGCGCCGCTGCCTCACCGCTCGCCCCTCTGCGCCTGCGTGTCCCGTGCCGCCGCGCTCTCCGCTGCTTAGGGGCTCTCAGCCTGGGGTCGGGGTCCCCTGGGCTTGGGGCGCATCCGAGGAGGCCTGGGAGAGCAAGAGTATCCAGTACGGGGCCAGAGCTGAGGCCTGGCAGTAGGGCTAATAGGTTCGAGGTTTTACTTGTTCTCCTCTAGTTAGCCAAAGCAGGGCTTAAGCGGCAAGTGTTCAGACGTGTGAGGCTAGACTAAGCGGAGGATTCAGGCCGTAGCATTTTTCCCAGGCCCCTCGCCCCGAGGATCCTCGAGTCGCTTCCCATGGAAAGGGCAAGAGCGATATTATAAAGGTAGTGCGCTTGCCTTGCGCGCAGCCGAGCCGGGTTCGATCCCTGGCGTCCTATGTGGTCCCCCGAGCTCGCCAGGAGTGATCCTGAGCGCAGAGCCAGAAGTGGAACCAGCAGTGTACTGTGACCGCAAAGGGACTGTCGTAATCGGTCACCCCCTGCAGAGGGGGATATAATAAATATGCACCTCTGGAGATAGGGGAGGAATCTGGAGTTCAAAAGCCGAAGGGAAGGAAGTAAGGATGAGTCTGGTGCGCTAAAGATGTTGTGGATACCTGGGAAAAGGTGTGGCCGAGGGAACCAGAGTTTTCCTGGTTGGAGGGGCAGACTAATGAACTTCCTCCCGCCAGCAGCGTGATTCTCTCGAATTGCCACTAGATGGTGATGCTGTTCTGGAAGCATTCCAGTGAGTTCCAAAGCAGACCCATACCTGGCATTCTCTCCTCACCTCCCTGTCTCACCCCCCAAAAATCGGTGGGATTTGGATTTCGGAGGTTTTCTTTGTTGTTGCTTTTTTTCCACACCGGCGATGCTCAGGGATTACTTACTGGTTCTGTGCTCAGGAATTATTTTTAGCAGAACTGGGGGACCATATGGGGTGCCGAGATCGAACCCACGCTGGCCAAGGCAAACGCCCTGCACGCTGTAGTATCCCTTCTTCCTCACCCCTCCAGGAACTGGCCTGGAGTTGTAACTCACTGGTAGGACACAGTATTTATGAGAACCTTTCTATCTGGCACCAAAAGAAAAACAACAAAAGAATCTGTGGATGGGTGGGGAATAGAAGTCAGATACTCTACCCCTTTAATGTCCATGAAATCAAACTCGTGCAGGGGAGATGGGGGTGGGGTGGGAGATAGAGCAGAGTGATGAGCTTTCAAACCTGTTTCTGCCATTCCCTATCCTTTGTCTAGTCAGCTCCTGAATGTTTTCGATGTGTACCCACCCTGATCTTCCAAGTGCAGAACCACCTGTTTTTCTTTTTCCTTTCTCTTTCTCTCTCTTTTTTTATAGCACAATCACAGTTTCACAAACCCCAGGAAGGTTCCATGTGGAGAGAGGCTCAGATTCGCCCTTGCACGGGGGATCACAACACTCAGAATATCTCCTTGTTGTAAATGGAAGACACCTGAGAAAAGGGAGAATAGATGCTCAGTGCAGCACAGCAATGAGGACAATCTGATACCTCACCCTCTCTGCACCCACTTTACTGCATAAGAGATGCCCTGCTCTGCTCACACCCACCCTCCACTGCCCAGGTGACTCTCACCACTACTGTAGCAGGTATTGTAGGCCCAATCTGGGTTGGAAGGCATACTTCGGATACATTTGAATAGGGTCTCCTGCCTTCCCTGGCTCTCCCGGGATACCACCTGACCCATGGTGAAAGTCACATCATGAAACAGGACCTGGCAGGGAAGAGAGGAGATGCTGAAGGAAGGGAATGGCATGCTCAGTTTGGGAAGTTCTCAGGAGCACAGATAAGGGATCATAGAAAAAGGGAATGGTCTTCTAAGTTCAGAACGAACAGAAGGGCATACGAGGTCTGGAAGAACAGGCCTCCAGTCCTCAGGTGAGGTTTGGTGGGTACTTGTGGTTACCTGGCTGTACAGCAGATAAATTCCAGCCTCCAAGACTCGAACAACTTGTCCTTGGGCCTCCAGTCCTCTCCCACGCTTGAGAACCGGTTGCCACATCACCTCTGTCACATCAGAGTCCTCTGCAGGTGAGTGTGGCAGTTCAGGATCTTAACCCGAGAGTCTTGGGTTCAGGTGCCAGCCCCCAAGTGCCCAGGTCCTGACCCTCCCCCCACCAAAAAAATATTAAATAGCACTCACCCTTGAAGGTGACGTTGATGGGAACAAGGTGCAGAAGTGAGCGCTGCTCTGAGGAGAGACGGAGGAAGTCTCAGCAGTGCTCGGCTGCTGCAACTGCCCTCTTGCGTCTCCCCGATCCCCACCCCTCCCCGGCTTGGGGAAGCAATCTCCAAATGACCCTTGCTGCCTGATCAGTGCCACCCCTGCTGCACCGGAGGCCTCACTCTTCTGTTTATGGGTGAGCTCTGATCTCCTCCTTCGCACTCTCTCTCCGTTCTCCCAGGCTTCCAGTGTATCAGGGCTCTGCTCATAGGAAGAGGGGCAGCGTTAGGTGTAGCTGCGAGGGTCCTGCACAGCCTTTCTTCCCCGCCCCCCACCTGCCCCAGGAATGCCTCACATCTCTCCCCAGCAACCTGAGTCCCGGTACTGGCGCTGCTCCAGATCTGTTAGGCACAAGAAGTATTAATCTTTAACAGTTTCCTTACCTGGAATGGCTGCTCCCTTGACCTCCAAACCTGGGACCTTCTCTGCCAATCTCCTCAGAACTTTACAGACGAGGAGCCAGGAGGCCCCGAGCTGACCCTGCCGCCCATCCTCTTGCCTCCCAAGCACCTTCTCCCCTCACTCACCTGCTCCCGGAGGCCCGACCGTGGATGCCCTTCCCCCTTCACGAAGGTGCCTTCGGTCCTCTGCAGACGGCTCACCTCTCTCCTTATGGTTTGCAGCTCTGTTTGTTGGATCATCAGAGCCATGGCACAAGCCACAGCCCCCAGCACCGCCCCCCAACTCAACCAGAGGGCCACTGTGAGTGCCGGTTCTCGAACCACGCCCCCCATGTCTCCCGGGGACCCCTTGGGAGTTAGCAAGGAAGGAGATGAGCTTGGCATCAACTGGAAATCCTGCCAATAGCAGCGGCCTCGGGAGTGGGGTGGCGAGGAGGTCGCAGGAACAGGCAGTGGTGCAGAAGGGAAGGAGGGCGTTACACAGAGGAAAGGTAAAGCGGGAGGAGGAAAGCAAGCCAGGGCCACTGTGGCTGCTCCTGGCACCCCACGAGTGGGGGCAGTGTTATCTTGAGATCCCCCACCCCAGCCTCCTCTGGCCTCAGCTGATTGGGTATCAGTCTCTCTCTCAGAAGGACAGAAGCGGGCAGCCAGTGACACCCAGGAAGAACGGCCAGAGCCCAGGAGCCCTGGGGCGGCCCCAAAGGTGGGGGAAGGGAGGTAGACCGGCTGTGGGGCATAGTGCCAGGAACGAGAATGGAGAGACGAATAGGCTAGTTGTGGAGAGTCAAGGGGGTGAGGTGGGTGACCCGCTGGCTCCGGGGTCCGAGGGAGCCGGGGAAAGTTTCAAAGAGTAGCTGAGGGTGGAAAAGTCAGGAGCGGGTCGATAGCGAGGAAAATCAGGGTTGGGTCAAGGAAGCCAGAAAGCAGCTGAGTTCTGGGGTTAAGGCCAGTCCGGGCGTGTTGGAATAAGGCCTGTACTACTCCCTGTGCTGAACTTGGCAAGCAGGACTTCCTGTTTCCCGAGAAAGGCTCTTACATAAGTCTCTGGACAAAGAGCGAGGCAGCCCCAAGCACCCTATCCCCGCAGTATCCTTCCCCTGAATCCAGGGGAAAATGTTCCTCTGTTCCTGGGCCCCAGAGCTCTTCCTACTGGCCCCCAGGCCCTTTCTGGGACGATTTTCCCCTCACACACACACATCAGGTGTTCTGCTAACACCTGCCAGATGTCTCAACGCTGCCATGAGGAAGCTTCGTTCAGGGATTCCCCTCAAGAGGAAGCAGCCTTCTAGGTAAATGAGGTGCTCTGGCTGGACTTGGGGCAGAGAACTGCTTTGCTTTTGTTCTTCCTGGCAGTTCTGCTCAGGACTTGGGGGCTTGGAGACATGCAGGTTCCAAATTTGTTGGCAGCCCTGGAATTCCAGTCCCAGACCTCACTCCCCAATACCCAGTCCCTTCCCGTGACCCTCAGGCCAATAAAGACAGAGACTATTATTTATTCTCTTTAATATTCACTTAGCAACATTTTGTCACAATAATAAAAATAATATCTTTTTAAAATCCACAGGGAATTATCTGAGGAAGAGTCTGTCTTGGTCTCTCGCCCTCACATCTGGGAACTCCTGGCTTAGTCCCAGTCTCTCAGGCATCCAGCCCCTCTTAGTGCCCAAAGAGGCAGCTCCGTCTTCACCCACAATACAGTAAACACAGTGTCCTGGGGGGCTATGGCCAGAATGGGAAGAATTAGGAGGTAATGGGTATGGAGAGATGAGGCGTTGGGGGCTAACAAGGTGGGAGGCAGAGGTGGGGAGAGTTGCCGAGAACGGGAATATTGGTGTGTCAGGGAAACACGTGAGACAAGTGAGAGCCCCCAGAGGGGGTGGGGGGTAGAGCCGGGGAGGAGCAGCTGAGATGGGGCACAGGTGCCAGCTGGGAGCCCAGAGCGAGCTCAGAGAGCTGTTGTGGGGAGCTGTCCACCAGGGAGAGCCACAGGCAGCCAGGGTCCCTCAGTGAACTTGGAACAGTCCAAAGTAGGTGAGAAAAGGGGCCGCCTTGAGGTGGGCTCGGGGCAGGGTGCGGATCCTCAAAGAGGACCCTGAGCGCAGGGGCAGCAACCCAGACACTTGACAGAGCCGCAGTTGGGGCCCTGGGGAACTGGCGGCAGTGGCTGAGAACTCCTCGAGGCAGCGTAGGGCCAGCGTGTTGTCCACCAGCAAGTCCAGCTTCAGGTAGACAGCTTTACCCTCATCAAAGTGCACCTACGGGGCAGGGGAGAGGGAATGTAGAGCTCAGGTCTCCAGCTACCCCTCCAGTCAAGTTAAAATTTCCTTAGGGACCCAGCATCCTATCTCTCCTGCTCAGCCCCCAAGCTCTCAAGCTCCCTCTCCCCAGTGTTTACTTTGCCCTCAGCCGCTAAGTCAGACCTTTTCCCCTCAACACCTGCTTCACCGATGCAGCTTTGCAGGCTTACCTGACAGTACAGGTAGTAGAGCCCGGCCCGGGTGACGACAAATCCCCCGCTGTGGCGGTCATAGCGCAGTGGGTTGGTACTGTTGATCCTGGCTTCCTCCCAGCCACTCACCGTCCCATCCACACCTGAATGGGGATTTTCAGAGAGGGGACAAGGTACTTTTAGACCATTCCCTCCCACTTCCTGTGGGTCCCTTGAGTTTAATAAGCCTTTGGGGCTGGAGCAATAGCACAGCGGGTAGGGTGTTTGCCTTACAGGTGGCCGACCCGGGTTTGATTCTCAGCATCCCATATGGTCCCCTGAGCACCATCAGGGGTAATTCCTGAGTGAAGAGTCAGGAGTAACCTTTGTGCATCGCCAGGTGTGACCCCCCCCCCCCAAAAAAAAAAAAACTTTGGGACCCACCTTCCCTGAAAATAGATAGCTCAGGGAAAGGGAGAAGCCCCTTCTTTGGAGCCCTGTAAAAGGAAGAGGCATGCAACAGTTGGGGTTTGAGCCACCGTGTCACGGAGCCACATTTTCACAAGTGTGGGTCATTTTATTTTTTTGTGGGGCACTTCGGGACTGGTACCTGAACCCAAGACTATCAGGTGAAGATTCCGAACTACCACACCGGATTAAGCCCTGAGCACCCTGGTCTGGGCTCCCCAAATCCCTACCCCCACTCCCTTGCCTTCCATTGGTCACATATGACCAGATGGCAGCAGAGCAAATTGTCAGCAGTTATTTTTGGAGAAGAGCAGGCTCGAAGAAGCATGGGAGTGTGTGCATTTTGAGTCTGAGTCATTTGCCTTTCTGTCCTGGGAATGTAAACATACAGTACTTGAATCAATACATTACTTAAATTATTAAATTTAAAAATAGGGGCCGAAGTGACAGTATAGCAGGTAAGGCACTTCTTTTCTATGCAACTGACACGGTTTCAATCCCTTACACCATCAGGAGTGAGAGTGCAGAGCCAAGAGTATGATCTGGGCACCAGCAGGTGAGGCCCAAAAACAAAAGATAGAGGGAAAAATAGAAATAAAATTAGAAATAGTACCCAGGGAGCCGAAGAGATAATACAGGAGGTAAAGTGCTTGCCTTGCATGCAGCTACATTAGCCAAAACCCTTGTCCAAATTCCCAACACCACATACACATATACCACCTATTACCCCTGAGCACAGAGCCAGAAACAACCCCTGAACATTGCTGGATCTGACTCAAAACCCCAAAACAATAGTAATAATACATAAACCTAGTACTCAAATGCCCATCAGCTAATGACTGGATAAAGACAAGTGTCATGGATCCACACAATAGGGCGCTATCTAGCCACACAAAGAAACAGTGCTTAGAGCCAGAGAGATCACTCAGGGCAATATGCTTTGCATTAGTGATCCCAACAGAAGAGAGGAAACTGTTCTGGAGGCATGAAGAGTAGGGGAGAGAAAATTAAAGAATATTTCTTGCTTCCAGCTTGAGCAAAGGCCTGTTGTGGTCAAAGGGTATGGTGTGTCTGGGACCTGAAATCACCAAGTTTCATAACCACAAACTTCAAATGGGCCTTCATTACTGCTCGAAAAATCCTTTCTCCCACAAAACTTGATTTGCACTCACCAAGAAAATTATTTCATCCATTCAATCTTCAAACCATGTGTCCCCAAGGTTCAAACCTAAGTATGACTCCCTCTTATCCCCCCACCAAATCTACAAACCAAACTCTTCTTACTTTTTTTTTCTTTTTGGGTCACACCCAGACGATGCTCAGGGGTCACTCCTGGCTCTGCACTCAGGAATCACTCCTGGCGATGCTTGGGGGACCATATGGGATGCTGGGAATCGAACCCGGGTCGGCCGTGTGCAAGGCAAATGCCCTACCCACTATGCCATTGCTCCAACCCCTCTTCTTACATTTTTTTCAAACCACTTGCAACGGTGGGATGATATGTTCCTCTCTACATTCCAGAAACTATCCCCTCCCACCTTCTTGGATCTTACCTTGCAAGCTCCCCTTCTATCCCTGCACTGGTTCTCCCACTCTGGAAACCATCCCCTCCCATCTTCTTGGACTTTCCCTTGAAAGCTTCTCTGATCTTCATTAGTTCACCCATTCACTGATAGGTTTCAATAGATAAGCACATATTAGCCTGGATCAAATCCTGATTCTACCATTTAGTTCTGTCTCAACCTCAAACAAGTTACTCCAATCTGTAACATGGAGATGACCAGAATATATGACCAACATAGGGCAGGGTAGGATTCTTGTTTTGTACATGGTTGACCTGGGTTGGATTCTGGGAACCCCATAATGGTCCCCTGAGCCTCACCAAGAGTGATTCCTGAGCACAGAGCCAGGAGTAGGCCCTGAGCACCTCTAGGTGTGGCCCAAAAAAACAAGAAAAAAAGAAAAAACATTATCTGACCATTGTCACTGTCACTGTCCTCCCGTTGTTCATCGATTTGCTCAAGCGGGCCCAGTAACGTCTCCGTTGAAGACTTTTGTTGTTACTGTGTCTGGCATATCGAATACGTCACGGGGAGCTTGCCAGGCTCTGCCGTGCGGGCGAGATGCTCTCGGTAGCTTGCCGGGCTCTCCGAGAGGGGCGGAGGAATCGAACTCGGGTCGGCCATGTTGGCTGCGTGCAAGGCAAAGGCCCTACCGCTGTGCTATCGCTCTAGCCCTAAAGGAACTAAAATTATCCTTACCCATGCCCCTCCCCCACTCTCCACAGGGAAACTGCTGGAAAGCACCATCATCCTCTTCTGTTTCCCATTTTCTCTTAACCCAGTCTATGCTGTCTCCCATCCTGTGTCACCATAACTATCCTTGTCATAATCACCAGTTGACTTCTGTTTCCAAATCCAGTGATCATTTCCCTGTTCTCTTTCCTTTTTTGGGGGGGTGGGGGAGGTTTTGAGTGTCACCTAGCGATGCACAGGGATTACTCCTGGCTCATGCACTCAGGAATTGCTCCTTTGCTCCTAGTGGTGCTCAGGGGACCCTATGGGATGCTGGGAATCGAACCTGGGTCGGCTGCATGCAAGGCAAACGCCCTATCCACTGTGCTGTCGCTCCAGCCCCGCCTGTTCTCATTTCATGTGACCTCTCAGCTGCTCAGCTCAACAGAGACAGCCACCTCCTCCTCTTTCATTAGACTCCAGGACACTACCCTTCCTGGATTTCTTCCGCTCGCTATTTCCCAGTGTCTGCTGGGTTCTCCTCTTTTGCCCCACTTGTCCAAGAGCCTCAGGGCTTCATTCTTGAGGCCCTTCTTTCCCCTAGTGTCTCTGCTGATCCTACAATAACTTTAAATATCATTCATAAAATGACGCTGACGCTTGACTTTATACATCCTGATCCAGCTTGAGTTACTCTGTTGACTTAGCCACCACCCATGGAACTCATTTGTTTTTTATTTACTCATTTGTTTATGATTTACTCCCTTGTTATTATTAAATACATATCTAGTGATCAATTTACCTACCTCCCAAACTATTTCTTCCCTGGTCAACCTCACTTTAATAAATGCCATCGCTATTCCCAAAGATGCCGATTAAAAATCACTAAATCTCTTCTGACAACTTCATTTCCTCTATCCCATATATTCAACCCACAAGCAAATCCTGACCCCAAGCCACATGCAAAACCCATTGCTAATCCCCTAGACCAAACCTCTCTGACGTTTTGTGTCCTGACCTTTCTTTTCACAAAGAAGGAAACAGTATGTGCAAATCCCAGAAGAGGTGGAGAAAGAGTGTCAGCCCCAAAGACATGGAGAATGAACAAGGAATGCAGGGGAAAGAAGCTGAAAGCAAACAGCGAGAACACTGGAAGTCACGCAGAGAAACAACAGAAAAATGAAAGTCAGATTTAGGGGGCACTTAATTATTTATTCAGATAGTTCTGGTTTTGTTGGGGAGGTCACACCCAGCTGCATTCAGGGCTTACTCCTGACTCTGCACTTAGGGTATTATTATGTGGAATGGCAGGGATCAAACCTGGGTTGAACCCCCACTGTGTTCATTCCCACAGCACTTCTGCAATAGGGCAGGTGACATACGTTCCCAAACTTACTTGGCCAACTGATCCCTTTGAAAAAAAGAAAAAAAATTACTCAGTGCCCTCTGAAAATCTACCTTCTTTAAGTGAACAGAATACCCCAGCACCCCCAAGGGGGCAGTATCACCCACTCTGAGAAACACTGGTCTAGAGTCTGGGTCTGAAGTGCTGAGGTCACAAATGCTGAAGGGGTGGACAGGGTATGGATAGAAAAGCAGCGTACAGACTGTGTGTGTGTGGGGGGGGGGGGGAATGGGCCACCCCTGGCAATACTCAGGGGTTACTCTTGGCTCTGCACTCAGGAATCACTCTTGGTAGTGCTCAGGGGACTCTATGGGATGCCAGGGATTGAACTTGGGTCGGCTGTGTGCAAAGCAAACACTCTCCTCTCTGTACTATTGCTCCAGCCCCAAGACTAGAAACAATTTGAGAAAAAATGACCAAAGCAATGAAGCCTCGGGGAATGAGGAGGGGCAGAAGGAAGCAAGAACGCAAGGGGCTTCTTGGGCAGAGTGAGGGCTGGCAGTTTTGCAGGAGAGTTGGCCTGGACTCTGAGGAGGTGTGGATTTCAGCTCGGGCCCATGACTGGATTGCAAGCCAAGTCAAGGCTGGGGGCTAAGCAAAGCGAGTCCTGAGGACTTTCATGAACTAGCTTCTGGGGTTCAAGGTTGAAGGCAGAGAGAGTCAGTATGACAAAGAAAGGGGTGGAAAGGCTAAGGTTTTGAGGGGGCCCTTTTCTAGGAAGTCAGTGCTGCTGGGGTGAGGGGGATAGGGTCATTGCTCAGAAGTGGGGTGAGGGGTCTCACCTGCCTGTGCACCATCTTGTCCGGGTCGTTGGTGAACTGTGAGATAGAAAGACCAATGAGCAAACAGCACCCAGCTGCTCCACCACCCTTCCTCCCGGACACAGCACATCACTCACCTTCATAGTGGGCAGCAATTGCTCTTCGAGTCCTTCTTTTCTGGCTTTTAGGTGCTGAGAATTCAAAGATTAACAGATTGGGGGAAGGGATGTGATTGATAGCACAGTTCATGCCTTGAACCGTATAACACTCTGGTTTTCACCTCCAGTGCCTTGTGGGTCCCCACACCACTGTGTGTCGCCCCCATCACAACAATAAAGGGAAAGAAAGATGAAGACAGCCAAAGCAGCGGAGGGTACAGGAGTTATTTCCTCAGCCACCTTTCCCTCTCAGAATCCTTATACAGATTCCCAACTTAGGAACTTGGGCTTTATCTTCCTCTATATGTGACAGAGTCTCCTGCCCCCACACCTGGCTGTCCTCACTGGGGCCCCTTGGAGAGGGGAGGGTTGAGTTTCTTCCCCCCCCCTCCCCGCCCCGAGCAGAGCCCCAGCAGCTGAGACCTCCGGAGCCAGCCACGGCCATGCTGGGACCACTCTCCACACGTCCGGACGGGCCTCATGCATGAAAGAACTGACAGAGGAACCCAGGCATGAGGGTCCCGGGGCTGAGGTCTCCAAGCCTACTTGGATTGGGACTGGGCCTTCTCCACCCAGACCCCCCATCTCCCAGTAGGTAGGCATCACACCCACCAGCTGCCGAGAGTGCCAGGTTGGTCCCATCAAGATGCAGAGACTATAAAACCCAGCTCCCGGAAGCGCGCGGCCGCATTTGCGGCCCTGCAACATCTTATTATCTTATTTTTCCTTTGGAAAACCTGGCAGGCTACCAAAAGTATCCTGCCCGCACGGCAGAGTCTGGCAAACTTCCCGTGTCGTACTCAATATGCCAAATACCAGTAACAATGATGGGTCTCATTCTCCTAACCCTGAAAGAGCATTGAAATGGCTCTTTTAAAATCTCAGGGCTAGGAAGAAGGAGACGTTACTGGTGCCTGCTTGAGGATATCGATGAACAACAGGATGATCGTGATCGTGATATGTCACAATAAATTATCACCCAAACTGGGAAAAGTCTGAGGGCAAAAGGAGAGCTATAATAATGGTTTAAACTTGAACCTGCCGAGGGGGAGCAGTCACACTGAAAGATAACTGATACAAGCCTGGAAATGGCATGGTCATCCCAAGATAGTTTCTTCTTATTGGGGCCAACTTCTGACTCCCACCCCATGTTTCTGTCAGAACCTGGGGATTCTCCTAACTCCCAGCCATCCTTTCATATTTTGGGTAAGGCCTGAAGCAGGAAGCTTTCCCAGGTGGAGGGAGGTTCAGAGCTCTAAGATCAATTTTGACTAAGCTGCCTGAGTCTGAATCCCTCCGCTCGCTGTGCCTTGTTTTCTCCGATCCTAAGAGAAGATAAGGTATTTGTCTCACGGGACTACTGTGAGTAGGAAGAATGCATCCAGAGGCCACCAGAGAACAGATTTAGTGATTATTCCTGGGCCTCAGAAGAAAAGGACACTCACCACTTCTGTGAGTCCGAACCAGTCTTTTGGGAAAAGGTGCAGGATCCTGGGCTTCCTCTGGCTGGCGACTCAGATCCTAGGAGAATTAGAGGAGGGCTAAAGCAGCAGCCTGGCAGTGGGCTGATCGGTCAGCAATAGACATAAAAGCCACAGGGAGGGACTGAACCCCTCAATCGTAGGTGATTGAGGGGAGGCAAGGTCATAGGGTTAGGTCCCGATCCTCACGTCCACCAGGAGCCCAGGCTCCCACTGCCCCGGCGCACAGAACTAGCACCAGCTTCCCCGCTGCCACTGCACAGGCCCACACGGTGTCAGCGTGCAAAGTGGAGAGTGCTTGCAAACCAGCAACCTGTTCCATAGCCGCTCCATGGACCTCCCCCTCAGTCACAGCCCTTTCATGTGACACCCTCTCCCCACAGCCCAGGGCACACCCTGTGCCCTCAGCTAACACACATCTCCCATGTCCACCAGCCTGTGCTGACAGCACCCACACCCACTCACCGCCGAGTTCTGGAATTCCTCTGCCACCAGCTCCCCCTGGGAAGGCGCCTGCTGGGAAGGAGGCAGTGGTCACCCTGTCCTCCACCTGACAGCTCGCCCTCCACCCATCTTCCTGGGCCCTTGCCCTCAGCCCTCCCAGCCCCTTCAGCGGCTCCTGCCGACACCGCTCCAGGCTGCTGAGGGAGGGTGGTGCCCAGGGAGGGGTGTGAAACAGGAGCCTCACCTGGCCAGACAGCGATGCCCAGCTCCCCAGGCTGACCACCACCAGCAGGAGGCCCAGGCAGGCCAGAGCCAGGCCCAGGCCCAGCACGAGTGGGGCCAGCAGGGCGGTGCCCGGCGCCCCCCGGCGCCCCCTCCGCCTCTGGCTCCGACGGGCGGCCATGGGGGCGGGGGGCTGTGCCTGCCTCACCGCCCCCCCATCCCGGGACCCGAGGGATGGGGAGGGGGAGCGGCGGGCGGAGCGCGCGGGCCGAGGGAGTGGCCAGGAGCGCGGGAGGGTGCGGACAGGAAACCGGACACTGTTTGTGCCTTTCCACCCGCAGCGCCCCAGCGCCCAGCTCGCGGCTCCCGGGCGTGCGTGCGTGTGTGTGTGTGTGTGTGTGTGTGTGTGTGTGTGTGTGTGACGTGTGTGCGTGTGCGTGTGTGTGTGTGTGTGTGTGATGTGTGTGTGTGTGTGACGTGTGTGCGTGTGCGTGTGTGTGTGTGACACCAGCCGAGATCGGGGTGCAGCCGGGGGCCCGCCGAGCGAGCACTGGACAGGGGGAGCGAAAGCAGAGAGGGCAGAACCTGCCCCAGGCCTGCCTGCGGGGGAGCAGCGCCCAGAGTCCGGGACCCTGCGGCCGGCCGGGCGCTCCGGCTCCGTGCACCGAGCCTCGGCGGTGCTGACCCTCTCCCCGGCCGAGCGCCTGGGCCCAGCGCTCCGCGGCGGGTTTAGATTCCTCTGAGTTTCGTCAGCTGCAGCCACCGACGCGACTTTGCTGCTAGTCACTGAAAAGGACTGTAAGAATTCCTCACACGGGGCCTGGGTTCCACTTCCGACGGTTGGTTTAAACTTGAACCTGCCGAGGCGGGAGAGCTACCAACTTCTGCCGGCTCCCGAACCCCTCTGCTGGCTCCCGGACGCCTGCAACCCGCCCTGGCCCTGCCCCACCACCCTCCTAGGGCAGATGAGGCCCTTCGCGGTGGTGTGGCCATGCCTGAAGGCTCCTAGCACTCCTTCCGCACCCCTTCAGCTAATAATGGGTTTAAGTAATCCCCTAACAGCAACAGAGGAGCAAGAGATGAGGTTGGCAAAAGCTCTCGCCATGAAGACTTTTGTAAGCAGACTCCCAAAGAATTGATTTAATTTGTAATGATTTTTGTTCTTATTTTTGTTTGGGGGACCAAAGGGCAGTAGTCAGGGCTTACTCCTGGTTCTGCATTCAGAGATCACTCCTGGCAGGCTTGGGAGACCACATGGAGTGCTGAGAATCCAACCCAGGTTGGTGCCCTACCCACTGTGCTATGATTCAGGGTCCCTAATTTGTAATGTTCCTTGCCAGATGTTTGCAGTGCGCTGCAAGTGTCACAATGAAACAAGCTGTGGTTCCATAAAGGGAAGTATGTAGGCAAACTTCGGCCTCCCAGCGACCCCCCCCATCTTCTTGCTGCTTTTCTGGGGTGCTGAAATCTGCTAACCGAACACTTCTTCCTTGGAACACCCATTCACCTCCTTCCCCTGGCCTATTTTAAGTCACTGAAGAGAGTTTTCCAGATTATTTTTTCTAATTAGGATTCCAACTGTCCTCTTCCTCTGTTCTGGTAATCTCTCTCTCTTTATATATGTATATATGTGTAGATAGATAGATTATATGTATGTATGTATGTATATATAATCTGAAATGATAAGCTACTATCTCCACACCTGGCAATGCTTAGGGTATACTCCTGGCTTTGTGCTCAGGGATCACTCCAGGAAGTGCTCAGAGAATCATGCCTTAACAGGATCAAATCAAACTCATTCGTGTGTTAAACAAGTGCCTTAACTTCTGTACTATCTTATCTCTCCACCGCCTTTCAGTATTTGTTTGTTTTGGGTGGCCCACATTTGGCAATGCTCAGGGACTACTCTTGCCAGGTTGACCCTGGCGATATTCTGGGGACCATGCAGTGCCAGGAATTAAACTGAGTTTCTTCCATGCAATGCATGTGCTTAACCTGTTGAGTTAGCCTCCAGTTCCAGCTCTCCTTTTTATCTTTTTTCTAAATTTTTGGGTCATACCCGGAGACGCACAGGGGTTATTCCTGGCTCATGCACTCAGGAATTACTCCTGGCGGTGCTCGGAGGACCATATGGGATGCTGGAAATCAAACCGGGGTTGGCCGCATGCAAGGCAAACGCCCTTCCCGCTGTGCTATTGCTCCAGCCCCAGCTCTCTCCTTTAAAAAAAAAAAATTGAGGGAGCAAAATCTGGGAGCAAAACTGAGGACAAAATCATTTGTAGGAAAGAGTAGGTCTAAGTCAAAAAATCAATGAATGGAGGGCCAAAGTAATAGTACAGAGGATGGGGTACTTGCTTCCCACACAGCTGACCCTGGTACCACATATGAGGTCCCCCAAATTCCACCAGGAGTGATCCCTGAGTGCAGAACCAGGATTAAGCTCTCAGCACCACTAGGCATGATTCAAGAAGGAAGGAAGGGAAGGAGGGAGGACGAGAGGGAGGGAAGAGAAGGGAAGGGAAGGAAGGAAAGAAGAAAATCAGCAGGTAGAAGATAACAAGAAGAGCAGAGCTGGGGCCTTGCATATGGCTAATCAGGGTTCGATCCCTGACATCCCATATGGTATCTGAGCACCACCAGGAGTAATTCCTGAGTGCAGAATCAGGAATAACCCCTGAGCATCTCTGGGTGTGACCCAAAAAGACCAAAAAAAAAAAAAGTAGAGCTGTGATGACAAATAGGGAGCCAATCTTCAATTAGTCATGAATACTAATTGGATAAGGAGCAAAATTGTGCTTGAGTTAAGTAAATGGTATTAGCACTGTCCTCCCGTTGTTCATCGATTTGCTCAAGCGGGCCCAGTAACGTCTCCATCGTGAGACTTGTTACTGTGTTTGGCATAATGAATACGTCATGGGTAGCTTGCCAGGCTTTGCCGCGTGGGCGAGATATTCTCGGTAGCTTGCCAGGCTCTCCGAGAGGGGCAGAGAAATCGAACCCGGATGAGCCGGGCTGGCTGCACATAAGGCACACATAGCCTACTGCTGTGCTATCGCTCCAGCCCCTGAGTAAATGGTATTAATGATAAAAAAAAAAATAATAAATATAGCTAGGTAAAGTAAAGGCCCTCCTGTTGTTCGTCAGTTTGCTCGAGCGGGCCCAGTAACGTCTCCATTTAGAGACTTTGTTGTTACTGTGTCTGGCATATCGAACATGTCACGGGTAGCTTGCCAGGCTCTGCCGTGCGGGCGAGATGCTCTCGGTAGCTTGCCGGGCTCTCCGAGAGGGGCGGAGGAATCGAACTCGGGTCGGCCATGTTGGCTGCGTGCAAGGCAAACGCCCTACCGCTGTGCTATCGGGCTGGCTGCACACAAGGCACACACATATATATATATATATATATATATATATATATATATATAGCCTTACTCTGTAAAGAGTACAAAAGAAAGCAAACTGTCTAGAATCTCCTAGGAAAATTCCAAAACTAAAGAAAAAAAAGTATACATTTATATGAAAAATAAGGGTGGTAACGTGGCTCACATATGTGCTTCACATGTATGAGGCCCTGGGTTCAATCCTAGAACCACAAAGTAAGGAAAGAAGCCAGGCATAATATGGCATAATTAGATTTACCAGTTTCTGACCTTGAAGTCATGAGAAGAAAGTATGAGCCTGGGAAGGTGAGCGCTCAGCAGTGGCATCTGAGTGCTTACCTGTGTGGGTTCAATATCTGGTACCACGCAGGAAAATAAGAGTGTATTTCTTATCACTGCTTGGCCTGAATTTGACCGATATTCACATGGCCACAATGATGTCTGCCGATTCACTGTGTTCCAATATTTTTATTTATTTAGATTTGGGGGCCACACCTGGCGTTGCTCAGGATTATTTCTGGCTCCTCAGGGGTCACTTCTAGCAGGGCCTGAGTGACAAACCATATGGGGTGTCATGGATTAGGCCCGGGTTGGTCACGTGCAAGGCAAACACCCTAACCACTCTACCATCTCTCTGACCCCCTTGTGTTTCAACTTTCAGAGTCAAACTTAGAAAAATCCAGAAGAATTGATTGTGGTTTCAGGAAAGACTAAATAAGATAATTTTTTGAGCCACATGTGGTGGTACTCAGTGTGAATTCACTGTGGGCGCACAATGCATGTGTTCGGTGGCCAAGAGCTGCCTCCCCACCCTCGCTGCCAAACTGGTTGGAAACCAGTCACTGTTTATTCAAGTCTCACAGTGTTAGTTATAAAGAAATCATGAAGGATGGGGATGCACATAGATGTGGTTGAACATTATCATAACAATAAACAGATATAAAGCCCTTCCTTCAGTGAAAGTTCTAGGAGATTAACTCAATGACAAAATCTCATCTGGGGGTTCAGCACTCTAGATTACTAGGAGATCCGCTCAATGGCAGGATTCCATCTAAGGGCGTATTGCTTTCTCCTTTCTTAGCTCATAATCCATTTAAACAATAATATTAAATTTACTTCTTACTAATAGTTCTAGTTATTTTGTATGAATGTAGTAAGAGCTATATTAAGCTTTAATATAGCTTTTTTTTTTTTGCTTTTCTTTTGAGGGGGTCACACCTGGCGATGCACAAGAGTTACTCCTGGATTATGCATTCAGGAATTATTCCTGGCGGTGCTGGGGGGAACTTACAGGATGCTGGGAATCGAACCCGGGTCGGCCGCATGCAAGGCAAATGCCCTATCCACTGTGCTATCGCTCCAGCCCCGAAGGGGGGCTCTTCCTGGGGACATCTCGCTATATACCCCAGACTACAGTCCTCAGGCCAGGTTAGTTTCTTCTAACCCCAGCAGAGACCTTACTAAGTTAAATTTTGGGGGGTCATGACAGAGTTTATTTCATTACTGTGCTCTTAACTTATTAAGCTTCTTATGGTGCTTAGCTTATCCTTTTTCAATGCCAGGATAGTTTAAGGCTTGCCCTGGGTCCATCCAAGTCCATCGCCAGGACCCTTCTTCTGGGGGTGTTAGGAAGTAAGGGCATCTGGAGCTTAAGTCAAATAAATATGATGGATGCCCGGGAGTAAATATTATTCAGAGTCATTTAACTCCCATGTTACTAAAGCATAGCATCAACTGTATTTTTGTGTCTATACAAAAAGGGCCCTCCCGTTAATCATCGATTTGCTCGAGCGGGCCCAGTAACGTCTCCATTGGAGACTTTGTTGTTACTGTGTCTGGCATATCGAACACTCTCGGTAGCTTGCCGGGCTCTCCGAGAGGGGCGGAGGAATCGAACTCCGGTCGGCCATGTTGGCTGCGTGCAAGGCAAACGCCCTACCTGCTGTGCTATCGCTCCAGCCCGGCAAGCTGCTGAGAGTATTCGATATGCCA